GTTGTAATATAGTGTGTATGTATGAAATGACAAAAGAAACCCACAACATATATATTCTTTGGACACTAAATGTTTGGACATGAAACTCGTGTTTTTTCTTCACAACAATAATTTGTATTCGCTAATCTCTTGACATACTCATACGTGCTGTTTTGCATGTCTCATACTGTTTGCTGATTGGGTTTTGCTATGTTCGTGGAAAACGGTTCAGTCGATGCTACCCATAAGGGTAGTACCTACTTGGTGTGGATGTAGAATCTTTCATTTTTATTTTATGCAATTGTTACTTGTTTTTGTATTTGTATTAATCTTTTTAATTTTCGTTCACTTATTATCATCATATCATAATAAAAATTTAAATTTGTAATTTCATGAAAATGATATATCTTGTTATATCCATTTTTATATTTTGTATTTTCCATTCTATGTCAAAATATATTTTTCTTATATTTATTTTTATATTCAATTATTGTCTTGCTCTGATACCATCTTTATATTATCGTTTTAGGTTTTTAGATTTTTGTTTATGTCTTTGTATATCACAATCTAGCTGTTTTAGTTTTTGTTCATCTTTTTCTATATATTTATATTGAATTAATTTTTCTATTAAATAATCTATCTCTTTGATTTCTTTTCTGAAAAGTTCAGCTAGTTCAAGATTTATATCTTTCCTTTCCATTTTATATTTTATTTTTTAAATTTATTACTAATGAGCTTAATTCATTTACATGTTTATTTAATTTTTCTATTTCTTTATCCCCATTATATAAACTATTGCTACTATGAGGTTCTTCAATTTCTTGAATTTTTAATAAACTATTTTCAATTATTTTTCCTAAATTTGTAGGATTACTAAATGATCGTCTACTATGTTCTTTCTTGATTTTGATAATTCATACTTAAACTACTATTACTTAATGCATAGGCTATTCTATAACAAACAACCATAGGTATATCTCCTGATTCCATTAATGTTTTTTTTTTTTAAAATTGCATATTATTCCTATACAGTTATTAATTTTCTTGGTTGATAATGATATTGGAAATTGTAATGATATATTAAATTTAATTACTACATACCTTTTTTTTTTTTATTTAAAACATCCCAGAATGGGATGGAGGGTTGAGGCTACACCCCCGACCTGTGAATATAATGGCCCAACTAGGGCTAAAAGTCAATGGTCTACATCCAAGTCGGATATACATAGAGCAACATCAAAAGCATAGAAAATAAAATACAAAATAAAAATACAAGGGGTCCAAATAATTACTACATACCTTAAATATCCTTCTATTTCTCCTAACTTTCTTGATTCTTTATGCATAATTCTATTGTCTTCAACTCTTAATATTTACGGGTGTTTTTATTCCTTCTCTAAATATGATCGTAATACTATTTGTACAGTGTTTATATGTATATAACTTATCTTTTTCCTATCTCCTTCTTTTATTTTTTCTAATCTTTTTTTTATTTGATTTATTTCAACTAAGGGTGCTTGAAAATTATAATTTGCTTGTTCTATTCTAATCGGTTGTTCTCCATTCATTATTATGTAATGTATTATATTTTTTCTATTTAGTTTTTCTAGTATACCATTATTTATTCCTTCTTTCTTTTTTAAATCTAAATTTCCTTTATTCTTTACTTTTGTTACTACTTTTTTGTCTAATAATATATCTGATAGATATAAATTCCTTGTTCTTCTATATTTTCTATAACATGATATTCATTTTCCATTTATTATCTTATATTTAGAATTCTTAGCCTTATTTGAACACCTAGAATGGATGCTTGGTATTCGGCTTTCTTTATTGTTGTAGCACAAATTGTTTTCAAATTACCGAGTACTGAATCAAATGATTCGCTTTCCGGGTCGATCTCTCGAGGAAGGCTATTCGGAATTCAACATTGGTATCGATCACACACAAAAGAAAAATAAATCCTAAACACTCTAATCAAATAGGGGGTTTGAATAATAATCAACTAAGAAATAATAAAAAGCAATAATCTACCTAAGAAGATAAACGAAACAAAGATGGAGAAGCTAGGGAATCGGGGACAATTAATTCGAGTTCTAGCAAAACCGAGCAATTCATTGTTCGGTTCGAGATTGACACTCTCGCTTAGAAATCTAGCGGTTCGCTCCCAATAACTCTTCGTAACAAGGGATTGAACGTAGAAGAAAAAGTTCGAGCATACAACACAAGCCAATTATCCCTATCCCAATAACTTTCCATAACAAGGGATGGGTCATCGACAAGTGTGTATTTCAATCTAAAACACATAAATTATTCATATACAAAATCATCTACCTCATGTGAGCCTAGGTCTACGACTTCTCACCTTTCGGTTCTGAAAGTCGCCAATTTAACTAGAAGGTGTTTAATCAACTAATCATATGAAACTGACAAATCCTAACTTGACAAATTAACATTCAATTGTTCCCAATCACAAGATCGAAGTGTCACCCTTCGATTATATCAATCAATCAAGCACAAATTCATCAATTTCTAATCAATTCAACCCACACAAGAATGAACAATTCAAGCCCGAGAGATACAAATTAAACAAGAATAATCATCCACTATCCCTAGCAATAAGAATTAGCTACATAAAATCAATCCAACACAATTAATCATTTCTCCAAATTCAACCATTTCCATGGATTAAACAAGAAGAAAAACTTAAAATTAATCTCAATCCAAGTGTTGAATCCACAATACAAGCTTAATCCCTAAAATGGAAAAGAAAGAAAAAAAAGAAAGAAAAATGCAGAAGAAAGATGGACAAGAGGAGAAGAGGAGAAGAAGAAGGGAAGGAGAATATGAAGGAAAGTGAAAGGGGGAGGCGATTTTCGGACCTAGGGTTCCTCCCCCTTCAAGCTGGAAGTGAAAGAATTGAGAAGAAAAATCAGCTTTTGGGGTTTCTATCTCATTTTGGGACTTGCAGGGGCCTTAGCGCCGCTAAGGGGGGTTAGCGGCGCTAAGGGATGAAAGCTGCGAGTCTCTGGGGTCGCTAACATGATCGAGCGCCGCTAGATAAGTGAGCCTTAGCGCCGCTAATATGTCTGGGCAGCGCGACTTTGCGTTTTTGGCTCGTTTGGGCTCGTCCGAACTCGAAATTGATCTCCGTTTTTTTCCTACGCGCCGCTAACGAAC